GGTCATCGAAGCTGCTATGAGGATCCCAGAGAAATATTGTTAATCCGATTTTTGGACTGCCTAAGCTTAGTAGAACTATAAGAATTAGACTCTTCCATAATTTCGACACCCTAGTGACAAAGGAGCGGTCTTATCGGCCAGTTCTGGTTCGACAGGGTTAGGATGGAAGGCCAAAGCGGTCGGCTCGTCACTTTCAATTCCTTCATGTAGAGTCATCAGCAAAGCTGTGGCTTTGGTTGATCGTACAGGAAAGGAGAGGCCCTTGTAATTTGTACGACACTCTCCTTGTCCATCGTTTAAATAAGAAACCGTTATTGCTTGGAGCTCCTAAACATTCCATATAAAGCTGTACGACTGGAAGCATTAATATTCCAGGTCCAGATATTGGATAGAAGGTGGTCGAACTGCTCGCTTTGTCCTTTGTGCCGATATTGAAACGTAAACCGAAACCGTATCCGCAACTGGCGCTGCCGAGGTCCCGGTGATGAATAGGATCCCATTATCTGCAGGTATTCGGACGAAAAAAGCAATAAATACAGCGCGGCGGCCTGGTCGGGATCCCCAGCACCGCGTTTATAAATGAAGCTGGGTAAACAATGTATTTCGATGGGTTATTTGCTTGACGGAAAGATACGGAGCGGAACCAGAGACATTCTGGATAACTGGAGCACAACAATCCAAGATTTGGAATCTTTTACAGTACATTAAAATATTCCTGGTAAACTGCAGATAATACTCTCTTGACTACTTTCTAGTACCAGATATAGCAACGCCATCAGGATACACAAATTTGTCTGACGACTTGAGTTCAATGTGTAGGAGAGAGAAGTGTGTATAGACACATATGTTAGAAAGAGATAGAAGGCCAGCAACTTGACGCGGCAACCTGCCGCGTCGCCAATATGTTACACAAGTTCCTTGAATTAAGATGCATGTCGAAAATATGCGCTAGTGTGTTTATGTACGCCCATTAATGGTCTTACTTTGAACGTGCGCATTTTTTAATTGTAAATTGCATGGAATTTAATTACGATCGACTCCGGATCGATCCTGACGGCGCTCCATTTTAGGTCGATATGAAAGGTCAGGATCGTCACAAATTATGCAGCATTACATCATTGATCCGCTTGGCAGCACCGCATTTCGTATATCCTAAGGCAAGGTTTCCACCTCCATGATTATAGATGAGCGATTTTGGTCAGTACCCATCTAGCGCTCATTGGGGAATGTCGCTCTGCTTCGAAATGGTTTTCACCTGAGTACACGCAGGCAGTGATATTTGTACTGCGCAAAATGTACCAATAAATAACTCAGGATGTGTTAATTTTATCACCATGGGTGGAAATCAAAGTTAGTTCTAAAATAAATTAAAACACCAGTCGCTGATGCGATTTTGATAAATTGAAATTCAAATCAAAATGACAACAAAATTTAGATTAAATGTTCGAACAGACCTTCTTCTTGGGTGGACAGTAATCCTAATCTATTGTTAAGCCTGTGCAAACATTTTGGTGTAACATATTGGCAACGCGGCAGATTGTTCTGACATGTGTTGACACTTCTCGCGGTTCTCTCTCGTACGCATTGAACTCGAGAAGTCAGACAAATCTGGTTTTCCCTGTATTTATTATCCATCATACAAACAGCAGTTGTATAGGATTCGTCATTTGTACATACAGGGATCTGTATAAATAAAATATCTGAAATCAAGTAAAATTCATACTTAAGTAGAGAGGGAGAGAGAGATCAGATAAATGAAATACAAATACACATCAAAAACAAACATAAAAACTAGTATAAATAAATGATAGATATTCAAAATGGGCGTAAAATCCATAAACAAGTCAGACTAGATGGAGAGAAAGTCGTTCACGCAGTATAAATACTCGTCCTTGTTAACTAAAAGTTTTCTTAAATGACACTTGAAGCTGTTTGGATTTGTAATGTTTTGCAGTTCTTCCGGTAAATTATTGAACACTTTCGAACCCAGTATATTGGGTTACTTACCCAGCCAGCACGGTGTCGTGGAATCGACATAGATATTTGCAGATTTTGGTCGACGTTGAGATTTAGGAGAAATTCTACGTTTATTCGACGTGGAAATCTGATGTAGCACGCCACTCATCGACCAGGGTCGTTTTACGCACGTGAAACAGTGACCGCAAATACATCTGTATGGTTTGTCTGAACTCACTTGAAACAGCATAAAAACCTTTGGTCGGCGCGTCCTTTGTAATTTCATGACGTATCATAGGCGTGCGGTTATTTATTTAGAACGATAATATAATGTTTTTATATCACAATAAATGGATTTTACTATCTTCTTATTTTTTCTGATTTGGGATAAAAATACTTATATTGGGAGTTTAATTTATGTTGACTGAAAGTTAAGAAATGGAAAAATTACAGAATTCCAACGTTTGACATAGGCAAATATTTACATAGCAGGTAGGTATATAAAAAGGTATATAAAGACTTACATTATAGGTATTTATATATCATCCTCGCCTTCGGAGCTGTCGCTAGAGTCATCTTGTAGAGGAGTTACAACGGGATTTACAGGAGGCAAAACGCAATATTCATTTTCTTTTTCAATAATATGCCTAGAACACTGCTTCCATAGGTCTGTGGCAGCAATATGAGATACTGCATCTCTTATTGTGGCCAATAGCGATTCACTTAATTGAGGGGTCTGATTATGTTTTCTTACTTTTTTTTTTAAAGCAGCCCAGACCAACTCAATCGGGTTAAAAATGCAGTAATAGGGAGGTAGACGTAATACTTCATGGCCATTTTGCTGAAGCAGATTGTCAACAACATACTCTTTTCAAATTTTTTATAAGATCCAATAATATGGCTTTGGTGGATTTTTGTGGTATTTCCATTCCCTTATCCTTCATAAAATCATAATGTCCTTGTTTTTTGTGCCTGTATTCGGAATTTTGTTTTTCTGTCGGGAATGGTATGGCGCATTGTCCATAATAATCACTGAATTTGGGGAAATGTTTGGTATTAACTGCTGCTCTATCCACTTTTCAAATAAGTCGGAGTCATGTCCTCATGATATTCGGCACATGATTCTTTGATATTTTTGGCAGATAACAGCAAGGCATTAGGTATAATCCATTTCACTGCCAGCATGGAGAATAATGATTTGTTTTCCACGGTTGCATGGTGCATTTAAAATGCACTTGTTGCTGTCGTCAACCCAGCCGTACTGCACAACATCATGGGTATCATACCACGTTTCATCCAGGTAAATCAGATTTCTTTTCTGCTCTCTATAGATTTTAACTTTGTGCAAAAATTCTTGGCGCAATTCAACGATTCGAGACGACTCCATAATCACCATTGTTTTATCTAATTTTTTGTATTGAAAACCACACAGTTTTACAATACAGTGCAGTGAGTCTAAGCATTTGTAATTATAAAAATCTTCAGGATAATCTTTTAATTTATCCCGTATCATTTCCAACGTGGGCACCAAATTTTCTTTATAAAATCCGTATATTATACGACGAATATCTTCCTGAAAACCCACGTCTATTCTTTTTAATTTTTGCCCTATGCGCTTCTGTGGAAGGAATGGTTGACTACATCTGCCCTTTTTATAACCCGATAATTGGTAGACCGACTGATTTTTGTCAGGATACAAATTCTGTTTAAAATTTGATTTTGCGAGGAATCTGGATTTTCGTTTTTCAGACAATCATACATATTTAGGATTACTCTTTGGGTCTGTTCCTCTAAATCTTTATGAAAGAATTCTGCCTGCACAGGTTCATCAACCATCTCCTCGTGGCTTGGAGCATTTTCCCATGGTCTCCAAAGAGCCATATTCAGGACACACAAGAACAATCAACACAACAATTAAATCAACAAGTAAACTGAGTATTCAAAAGTCAAAAACACACAAACTAATAAAATCTATGAAAAAACACGGACAGACTAAAGAAAACACGTTTATTCACCGCTACACGGCACTGGCTAAACTGTTTCAATTTTCAGTAGCCACCTGCACTTGTTCAGAGCTCTGAAATACACGCTTTCTCATTGGCTATGTATATACGGGGGATATTTGCAAATTTGGCTATTTTTGCAGCAACAGAGCGTGTTAAATATAGATATATAAAACGCACCCGGTATTTCACAGTGTTTCAAGTGACTTCAGATAAAGTATACCTGTGTTGGTTATTTATACACGTGGAAAAGACGTGGATGTGACGTGGCATTTTATCATAAATTTAAATTGTAATCTTCCAAATAGAGAATGTCCGAATGATGATGATAAGTGTTTGGGTGATGTAATTTATTTGTAGATACATCCTGGTCTCAAAAATATTGAAGTGCATATCGAATCTAAAATGCTTTGCTGGCTTTGTAATGAATAGTAATGCCGTGTGAACATATGTATTAGTCATTACTAGGTGAAAACCATCGACCACCTTATTGTAATAATAAAATATGAAAGTGTGATTGAGAATTAGGTAATTATAATATCGATGTTTCCCCATTTCATGACCAATAAATTTTAAATATCGCGCCTTGAAAGGGAAAGCGACAGTGATAAAGAGTGTCATAGCTGCATTGCCAGATTGCAGAATTCTCATTACAATCATCGGTAATAGCTCCCAAGATTTTTACATACTTATATTTCAGATTTGGAAAGCTACAGATTGTTTTCTTGTTACAATTACCTTTGTAATGATGCAATTTTTTTGCGACTATATAATACTTTTGGCTGAAGCTGATCTTTGTGTGTCGTTGAGTCTTCTTTTGCTCTATTTTTTCATACCTATACTATTAACAATTTCCTAGAGTTCATAAATAGTTGTTTTCTGATTGAGTCTAGTACATTTCCTGTGGAATTTTATATAAAGACTATTAAGCTTCTTCAACTCGATAACATTTGGAGACATTGAACAAGCAGCATTAGGCAACCATGCTTTTGAATAGACAGCCGATCCAATCGAAGTCATTCCCTCGCTCCCCGTGCTCCCCAACAGGAACCTCATATTGTTTCTTACGTCGCGTTCTCCATTATGCATCAGTTTTGCATTTTGCGAAATGTGCACGTATCTCCTGTAAATGGTAAAGTTTAAGTGTGTTGACAAAAGCCATACTGTGTTCCTGCTCATCGTTTAATCAAGAACAGTGTCATGACAGTATCTGTGCCTTTGTATGAGCCATAGGCATAGGAATAGAATTTTCAGATGAAATTGGTCGTGGTGCTGGGGGCGATATTGCCATAGTGCATGAAAAGTGGCTGACGCCGGAAAGAAACAGGTGTGGTGGCCACCATGTACGCAGCAAGTATGAACAAGTATCTACCATATAAGCAGTACGATACCGGAAGAGTGTTTTTTGAGGATGGTAGGTATATTGTTCAAACTTTTCCTATAATTAATGGCCGTATCGCTATCTTCAGTCGTCCCAACAATTATTGTAGGACGCCTTGATAGCCTCCTTGGTTTTCACAGATTTCTACTGTTCCGTTTTTACCGCTCGACTTTGAGGTTATGTTACATATCTATTCGCACCAAAATGTTCATACTTTTGGTTTATATCTATTTTATCAGCCTGAAACTTCACAACCCCAGCCTTTTGAAGAGGAGAAAATACTATGAAAATCAAGGAGGTCATAAAGGCATCCTTCAATTGTAAGAATGACTGACAATAGGGCCCTGAAATGTATTTAATTACTTCAAGTCTCTCTATACCAGTCATCAAGGAACAGCATCAATTCAATTTGAATATTTGTCAAATAATGCAGCTGCTAATTAAACTGCAAAAATTCATTACCTGCAAGACTTTTATTACAAACTGGGACTTTATGTTTGTAGAACAATGAGTCTGTTCAGCGAAAGCAAAGCTGTACAGCATTTTTATACTGAATAGCAGTAGCCATGGGCTTTGATACATGCCATTAGGACTTTAGTTGGTTATATGACCAAATTAGGAGAATATTATTTTCTTTTTCAGATCTTGTACTTTTATTACCAATAGAACATAATGTAATTTTGAGGCGCCTAATATCTAATCATTTGGCTACTTTTATTTGGGAACTAGACAAGGAAAGAAGGCATTCAAAACTTCATTTCTCAACAAGGTTGTAATAAGTAAGTACTAACAGATCTTTACAGGTTCCCAAACAGTTTCAGACCTATTATTGCTTACAAATTTTGTTTTTTGTATCTGATGTAACATACAAGACTTGAGGTACAACTATATTCAAAAATCCTTTTTCATATGACAGCTTTATATATAGGTAAACAACTAAAAAAATATTTACTAATAAAAAACTAAAACAAAGAATGTTCTATCGGACTATCAGACAGTTTATTCTGCATTTTAGCTGTCATATTTTATTTTTCCCCAGTCAAATTATATTGATTTTAAGTTATGGTTGGATTGTTTAATCTTATTTTGTATACAGTTGATTCTATCACATCTATATATTCAAATTTTATTTCTCGGGTCTGTTCTTTCTGGCACCAATGCTACCAAAAAAGATGTGTGACTGAGATGTGATTAAAACTTGGTTAAAGCTTGCACCAAAAAGCTATAAAACAAAATATTTATATATCTTTTTTATCCTAGTAGTAGAATGTAATATTGTGTTAACTAAAAACAATATTCGACTTTGATTTTCTACTCACATTCTTTTTTTTTTAGACAGTGTTACAAAGTGAAAGGAACTATAAGAAAGTTATTAGTGAGCATAAGTCATTAGACATGTTTGAAAGGAAGTTCAACAAATACTTAATAAAATAAATACCTCTCAGGTTGTGGCTTCACCTCAACAACAGTGTTGTAGAGTCAGGTAATTCAAATTTTGAAGTATCTGAGGATATTTTGAGAAACGTGAGACATTTAGAGCAAGATTTTGACAATAGTGGTAATATTGAACAAGATCTATGCATCACCTATATGCGAGGTAGATTCTTCACAACTATGCGGCTCTAAGGACCCAAGAATACATCAATGCTTAATCTGATGCTCACAAAACGATTCTTTCATTCACTAAGATCATATTTAAGTAGAAATCTAATATGCAAGGAAATGTATTAAAACATATCTGCAAAAGTTGTATCTATTTTCTTATTTATATATGTATATAAGTTAATATATAATTTATTTTTAAATTACATAAAATGTATGAGCAGATATAATGGTTTGTATTTAAAGCAATTGGTGAAATGGTGTTAACAAGACATATTTAGAACTAAAATGCTTATAACTTTGGACAAAAAGCAGAATACTCATGTTTTAAGAAGTTGTTATGATTATTCAAGTAGTTATTTCAAATGAAATTACTATAGTATTAATCCTTCAGTTTGTCCGCCCTTACAATTCGAACCACTTATATGTAAACATATTGTAAAGATTTCTTCCACCACAGTGGCCTTCTTTAGTACAATAACATTTGAGGGTTGAGTGGATGAAGGTGGTAAGTAACATTTGGGTTAAAATGAGTTCAGTATGTTTGGTGAAGGCTATAAGTGAAATTCTGTCTGGAAAACTGGTTGTTAACAATAACAGTTATTGTCCACAGTAGGACCAACCTGTTTTCGCGACAGAGTACTACTTCTAGGCTTCGCCAAATAAATTGAACAAATTTTTGATCCAAATGTTATTTACCACCTTCATACAGTTAATCATCACGTGAAATCGTCGTCAGACAGTGACGTCGATTCCATCTCACACTTCGCCCATAAATTAACGGACCTTCCACGTCGAAAAAAGGCATGGAAATGACGTGTGTAGATCACGTGAAATCGTCATCAGAAAGTAACGTCCATTCTATCTGACACGTCGCCCATAAATTAACGCACTTTCCACGTCGAAAACGGACGTGGAAACCACGTGGAATCGCTGTCAGAAAATGACGTCGATTATATCTGACATTCCGCCCACAAATTCAAAGGACTTTCCACGTCGAATAGGGCAGTGAATACTAGGTAAAGAGGTACGTTGATTTCACGTGAAATATACGTGTCCTTGCTGACTGGGTATTTCCTATGACATTTTGGATATACATCTTCCCGCTGTCTTGTCGTTTTTGAATGAACGTCTCCATTCAGAGTAAGTACACCTTAAGGAAAATTTGCTACATTCCGTTGGGTGTTGTGAAAACTTACTGGATGCGTTTTATCTGTATTCAGGTACAACTGATTATCGCGACACCAGTTACTTACTCCGTTGCCGTCTTTAATGAACTGATACTAGTATTGTTGCATAAAATTTGAAAGATGCACCATCATAAACATTATCAACCTCATTAATAAAAAGAATATAATATAGGTCCTAAGATACCTTTAGGAGTATATGGTCATTTTTATTATAGCCTACTGCATACTGAGTCGCCATCAGTGAACATTTCTTTGCACGAAACGACACTAACTTCACTCATGAGATATATTATCAGTTACATGTTCAGTTATTACTATCGTTTCCAATTACGTCTGAGTTTTGAACAAAAGTTTTTTCCTCATTCTTAAGTCTGAAACAGGCGAAATGTTTTGTTCGTCCTTGATTTGAAACCTCTATGTTATATACACGAACAAGCAAAATACACACCCTTAAAAAATAATCGTCGAACCCTTCAAAATTTCATATTTTTTGAATGTATGAAATATGGGAATAATATTCCTCTTCATTTTTGTTTGTACAATTTCATTGTATTCCACCCATTTTGATGATTAAAACTTTATATTGAAATTCCGGGAATTCTGACAATATCAACTAATTAGTGATTCTACGTAACATCTGCATGTTTTCGCGATAAAACAGTGGGCAAAAAGCTTTTATGGAATAATAATATTCATAGAGTAGTTTGCAGGTCTTTAAACGGTGCATAATTGGTTAAGAAAATTTCTACTACCTACGTATGTTTATTCGATTTTAATATTTTTTTGCATATATGTTCAGTATCCCTTACTAGTGAAACGATTGAATTTTCAGCTTGATTCGTCAAATGACTGCAGATATACAGGGTGACTTTGAAGTTGAGTCATTAATTTTCAGATAATGATTGTAGAAGGAAGATAAACCAAAATATGTGTGTAAAAATAAAAAAAAAATAAAAAAAAAATGTTACCTTGTTTAATAAAGTATCCTCCCGACAAGTATTTCAGTGCGGACCTGTATTTGATCGTGCGGTCTTGGAGCAGCATGCCCTCACCTGTGAGGTCTTAAGTCACCTGATTCACGAGCCCTTTGCACTACATTGACAAAGGCACGAGGGGTTGGTTGCACTCGATTGGGAAACCGATTCGCGTAAATCCGTGATGCATCCGGGAGCATTTTGTAAAGACTGCCCCCCCGTAAATAAGAATCATGTCCACAAGTTCAGCATTTTCGTAAACATGTGCCATTTTTGATTTCGTTTGAGCCACGCAACACACTACTATTCACTCAGGATTTATCGACTGACGAAAAACATCGTGATAAACGTTTCAAATTCTTTCGCTTTTTTGTTTCCGATGCGATGAACCGGTCAGGCGGATTATATCCGTTGTCGCCAAACACGAGCATATAATAGGCAGGGCGGTACTCAAACTTCCAAAGGGCTATAACTTTGTTACTTTAATTTTACCAGAAAAATGGTAAAGGAAAAAAACATTTCTTTTGATCAGATCTACTCACTGTTAAAATAAATGACTCAACTTCGAAGTCACCCTGTATATATATATTCATAATGAGGCAGCTTAAATCAACGTATCGGTAAAACCATAACACAAAACTTCATAGGCACCCGCAGAAGGGGGCCCCCCGTGCCGTGGCCTCCCCTGGGAATCCGACGGACCTTAAAATTAGCATATCTAGCATGACTTTGTATACAGTTTTGAGGACTTGAAAAAATTGGCTTGCCTCAATTTTTCAGTGTTGTTGTTGGATGTATATTTCTGTTACCAAACCTTATATTTGCACTGAGTGCTCAATGAAACAAGAAGAAATAAAAATTACTCACAACTATCCAAGTACAAGCCCAATGTTGAGGCACATGCCCTTTCGTAAAGCCGATGATCGTAATATGCGAGGGTTGTTTCACATTTTTCAGGCACAAGGAATTTATTATTTGAAACAATGAATTTGTTGGGATCGGTGGTGGGGGAGCCGACAAACACGACGATACAGCGTTGGGAACGTTATTTTTGAGATAATCCTCATATAACACTTATCGGCAAAAGATTTGCTTTTATTCAGTCTGAGCTGATTTTTGCAAATTCATATAAACCTTCACCATTATCGGTAACTCTCTGGAATACTAGGATTGGAACCCACGACTTTCATATGTTCTTGCAGAAAAGCACTTAACGTGATAATTTCAACAACCGCCAAACTGGTAATTTTGGTTACAAACAAATCGCAAGCCTGCTCCTCTACCTATTCCGAATTCGTTGTTGGCTACAGAAAAACTGAAGCCTTTATCCGACAATCTAGTTAAATTACACCTTCATGGAAAATAAAGTCATAATTCGGCATTCATCGTAGATATATGTGTATGTTTAATCTCAAGTTTGTCCTCAAACAGATCGCCGTTTTGTGCAGCTGGAGATTTATAATACGCTTTCAGGCATGCCAAATAGGAAGCAAACTCAAAAAGCGCCTCCTCGCTTGGAGATCGGGTTTCGTTTATTCAAATGGTTTCCTATTGAGGTCGCATCCGAGACTACCCGTTTTGATTACGGATTTTCCGTATCGGGCGAAAAAAGAGCGAGTGCACTGAGGGTGGTTTTGCATGCTGAGGGTCTTCTGTTGTTTTGATTGGACACGCAGAAAGTTTTGCGACCACTTCGATCATGTAGCTTCTTTACTGATATATTTTGTTTGGTACAAGCGCAAAATGGCAGTATGTGATTATTGTTCAGAAGTTCATACCCAAATTAAGAACTTTAAAAAAATACGACATATTCATTCGAATTCCTTGGACCATCCTTACCTAGAGTCCCACCTACTAAATTGAAAACGACGATCTTCTTGGAACAATGGTATCATTGCCAAAGTGAGAAGACGACTGCTAGTTTATTGGAACGGAAGGTTTTCTCCGCTCAGAGCTTTTTGGATATTTTTTCAAATCCTTGGATTTGACTTTGTTTCCTTGGATTTCTCCAAATCTCCATATATATCTCCACCGGATACAATCCAGGGAATCCAGATCACATATGCGTGAGGACTTTTCCAAAATTGGAATTATTACATATATCTTGGAAAAGCAAGAGCAGCAAAAAATTAATGTAATCAGTTATAATAACAACAACTATCAACCATGGTTACAGTGCTCTTCTACGTTGTCAGTGTGTACACTGCGCAGAAAAAAAACTCTGTTCACATCATCACAGAAAATCATTGAAAAGGCTTTGGTCTAGGAATGGGCACTCTACCATTAACAAAGAGTCAAATTACCAGTAAGTGATCAAGATTGTAAAAAAAAGTTACGTGATTTTGGCACGTGACAGTTATAAATCCAATAAAACATAATAAGCATCTGATAATTTTTGTAAATATATCCTGACAGCCAAACAAAAGCTCTTCATTTGCCTATATGTCTCAATAAAGCATGCAAATTAGTTTTCCAGTATAAGTTCAGCCATTTCCAGATTGTTCAGAGTAGTCGACACAAAAAGCATTTATCGCTCTGCCATGTTCTCCGATCCAATACCTGCAAATAATGGGATTTCGTTCATCGATGGAGCCCATTTACGTTCCAATATAGGCTGACGGAAATATGCGAAGGGCCTTCTTTGTTTATACAGTGTTTAAAAAGGCATTGTTCCCGTGCTGCAGGATACATGGGCATTGTACTAGCTGGAGTCTTTAAATCCCGGAAAAATTCCGGCATGGAGAGGATAAATTGAGAGAAACTGAAACTATTAAAGGCGATATTGTGTTCTACAATGCAGTACTAGCTTGTAAAGTCATATAATGTTGGAAAGTATTTGATTTATTCATAATTCTGGAGAGCTCCTCAGGCTTACATTAGATGATATCCTCCTCGTTCATAAAATTGGAACGTTTAAATATTTCTAGTCTAATTAAATTCCATTCTATTATATTCATCACCTCAATTCCTCTATTTTTGAAAGATAAGTTAAACTTTTGTGGTTCTTTGCACTCACGAGATATTTGCTTTATTAATACCATTACAGTACCTCCTCACAGA